GGCACTTTCAACTGGGAGGAATATTGTTCATCCTTTGTTTCGAAGAGAACCAGTGACATCATGGCAATGTCTTGACTTGTCCCGGAATTAGATTTAAGTGAGGCAGAGCTGTACAAAGTCGTCAGCCTCACTCTCAGTGCAGGACAAAAGTCAAGGTGACCGGCGATGGTCCGGGATGCAGTGGATGACCTTGGTGTCTTCCATCTCTGACCAAGCTCGAAGCGCTCCCTAGCACCTGCTTCAGCTGCCTTCATGGCGGCTGGAACAAATTGTTCTCCTCTGCCCATCTGCTGGGGGAAGTCTTTGCATGCTTGGGGTAGACATCCCCCTAGCTCACTGACAGGTTTGAGGCCTGTTGGTTACCCTTGACCTGGTTTAGCCCACCCGCCAGGACACTTTGTGGAGGAGGAGATGGCATCTGAGCTGGGCTTTGGAAGAAGAGGATTTCAAAGGGTGGGGAAGTGAAGGAAGAGTGGTTCAGACATGAAATTCCTGGAGGTAGGAATGAATAAATGAATGAATAAAACATTAAGCTCTTACTACATACAAAGCACTGTGCTAAGGGCTGGGGATACAAATAGAAAAGTAACACAGCCCCTGCTCTCAGAGAGCTCCCATTCTAATGGAGGGAACAATCTGTAGGTAAGGCACGATAAGTCAGATGGGAAAAAAGCAGATGTTAATGCATCTTCTTTCCCACCAAAGTCTAAAGTTGAACCATTTGATCATGCCAAGGACTTTGGTGACATGAACTTTCTTTTGGGGGTCTTAAAAGATGCGGCTGTAGCACCTGCAGGAGCACTGGCCAGGCTTCATCTGCATAGGGCTTGCTTCCCAGGACACTGTCAGGTTGTGGACACTGGGCTGGAAGCATTGCTATTCCCAAGACTCATGGCCTCAGGGTCCTGGGCCGTCCCATCGGAGTCTGAGGGGAGATCATGTTCAAGGAGGTGGTAGTGGTATGCCAGCTTTGTGCCTGGCACAAGCTGCCTCCTCTATCTCTCTCAGGGTACCCCATCGCTTCAGCAAGGCTAGCTTGCCTGCCCTGTGGGTGTGGAAGCTAGTTAGCAGTTAGTGGAGATGTCTGGCCCCTTCTCCCTGATGATGGCTATAAAGTCAGGGTTGGAAGTAGGACCAGCCATCTCAGGGGTGCTGCCTCTCCCAGAGCTCTTGTGCCTACCTGCCTGTTGGTAGGCCTCTTCTCCACCATGATTTCTTCCCCTCAGTGGTGGCTTTGCTTTTCCTTCTTTACACTTTATCCTTTATCCTTTACTGATCTAATCCACTCCTGTGGTTTCATTGATTTTTTTTTTCCAATTCAGATTTTATTTCATGGCAGAATATATAAGTGTAATTGAATTTAATTGAAATTCTGAACAAAATGGTTTTTTAAAAGTTATTAATGCAAATTCATGCAAGGAAGTGAATGGGGTACTGCGGGCTATTTCACTGATCATTTTGCATTGTATTCTGGCAGTTCATTGATGATTTCTACGCAAATGTCTACGTATATATCCACTCTCCTTACCGAGCTTGAGTTGATGGCTCACTATGCCCTGTCCAGACTACCACCACGACCTTAACCATCTAAGACCCTGATGGTTCAGACAGCCCAGGATCCTGAACCCAAGAGCCTTGGGAACAGCAGTGTCCCCCAAACTGCCAGGCCTGCTTCCAGCCCAGCCCTCACCTCTTCCCAGCTTCCCTATGCCTAGTGATGGCACAGCTATCTCTCCAGTCTTCCAGGTTTGAAACTTCTAAGCCCCACCACCCCTGATTTTTCCATTCTTCATCACATTCATATCAATCAATCAGTCATCGAGTGTGTATTACTCTTGCTTACCATGTGCTAAGCACTATGCCAAGTTCACATCTGATCAAGTGCCACGTCTCCTCCCTTCTCTCTGCCCACTCATCCAACCATTACTTTAGCTCAGTAAGTTTAGTTCTAGCTCAGGCTTTCACTGCCTCGTGCCTGGACTTTTATGGTGGCCTCCCACTTGGTCATTTCATCTCTGCCCCTCTTTAATCCATCCTCCACACAGTTGCCAAATATTCTTAAAGCACAGGTCTGACCATATCACTCTTCTGCTCAAGAAAGTTCAGTGATTCCTTATTCCCTGGAGTGAAAAAAATAAAATAAAGCAAATTCCTTGGTTTGGGTATTTAATAAAACCCTCCACAGTCCTATAGACCTCCAGTTTATCTTTCAACCTTTACTGAACATTACTCTCCCTTCACATATTCCACATTCCAACCAATTTCCCGTTCCCAATTGATATTCCCCATTTCCTATCTCCACACCTTTGCACAGGCTGTCCTCTGTACCTGGAATGTCCCCCCGTGCCTCCTTACCTCTGCCTTGTGAGTCTATGAGGCTGGATTTGAACTCGGCTCTTCCTGGCTCTTGACACTTTGAGCCATGTGTGGGCATCACTATAGCTCAGAATCTTTTCAGGCCTTTTTGTCACTGTAATCTCAATGCCTAGCACAGTGGGGAGCATTTCAGTTATTTTTCAGTCATGTCCAACTCTCCATGACCCTGTTTGGGATTTTCTTGGCAGAGATACTGGAGTGGTTTGCTATTTCCATCTCCAGCTCATCTTACAGATAAGGAAACTGAGGCAAATAGGGGTTAAGTGACTTGCTCAGGGTCACATAGCCAGTAAGTGTCTGAGGTCAGATTTGAACTTAGGAAGATGAGTCTTCCTGACTCTAAGCCTGGCACTCTATCCACTGTGCCACTTAGCTGCCCTAGGAGGCATAGGGTAGGTGGTTAATAAATACTTTTTGACTGATAAATTGATCTTTATTCCATTCAATTCTAGTCCATGTCTTTCCACCAAAATGTACAAATGAAAGGTGGATCTTTGCAAAAAAGCAAATAAAATGAATTTTGGTATGGCAACCCATGCATTTTGATAAAAATATATGTTTTTTAAAAAATCATAACAATGACAGCACATTAACTGTCTTCTTCTAATCTCTGTTCCATCTGTGTACTTAGAAAGTTTTGTTCTCATTATTTCCATGTAGGCAGTGTGTGGGTTGTTTAAAATCTGCATTCTGAGTTCTGCTTCACTTCGTGTCAGTATTTCCATATTTCTCCGTATTCTTCCTATGTCATTTTTGGGAAAGAGCAATTATATTCCATCATAATTAACATTCCAAAATGTATTCAGTCATTCTCTGATCTTTGGACATTTAGGTTGATTCCTCTTTGGTCACAGTTACAAATAAAGCAGGTATGAATACTTTTGTAAAGACACGCCTTTTTTTTTTCTTTTTAATAGTATCTTAAGGTAGGAGGGTGGAGTGGTTAGAGTTATGGGTTTGGCTTCAGAAAAACCTAGGTTGAAATCCAGCCTCCCTGGGCAAGTTACTCTATAAACCCATTCCCTAGGATTGATCTACCAAGTCATAGACCTACTGAGATTGCACTCTGTATCAGTGGAAGGAATTCCCACGCCTGGAGTTGGTGAAGAGGTGTGTTATGAAAGGCAGTTTCCGAGCCAGATGTTCCTTTGCTAAGGAACCTTCACACCCCTCTTTTGTAACATGCTGGGATAGAGTCCTGGCCCCTGGCTTCTTTAATGCCTTTAATCAGGACTGCCTGATAAGCTCACTTGTTACACACCTGGAGTGAATTTGAAGGTCTTTGCAAAATGAGAGGAGTGGGCTGCATGATTCCTAAGACCCTTTCCAGCTCTCAATCCCTGTGAGGCCATGGTGAGCCCTACAAGATGCTATGCTGGCTGACAGAGCCAGTTGTGTTTGGGTAGCATCTCCATTTGATGCCACCGCTTAGGGGTCTCTTTGCCCAGAATCCACCCCCCTTCAGCTGTCTGCCCCTGGGACAAGGTAAAGAGGTGGCTAATTCCCTTCCAGCACTCTCATGCCACCCTCTTCTCCTGCCGGCAATGGGTGGGCAGGTAGGGCAACAATGCCTCCTGTGTTCTGTCTTTCTGCCAGTCTGGCCCAAGGGGAGGGACAACAGCCTGGCTTCAGCCCTGGACTCTCAGCTTCGGCTCTCCCTCTCTACACAGTCGCTCCTCCAATCTGCTGAAAGATAAACTTCTCAGGCCTTCTCCCTTCTCCTGCCCCAGCCATCACAAGGTGAGGACCTGCTATGCTATGCCTAACCCCAACCCCTCATCCCAATTCAAACCAGGGCCCCACAACCAATTGTTGTGGCTATGGGGTGGACATCAGGCTGGGAAAGGGCTGTTGAGGGATTTGGACTGTCTGGTATCAGGATGTGGGTGCCAGTACCGTAGAGATCCTGCATGGGCCAAAAGAAACCTTGAATAAGGGTGGGATGAAAGGGGTCTCCGGGACCTTCTAGGGCTAACGTCCCCTAAGTGGATCAAAATACACTGATAAATCCCCATTCTAGTTCTTAATGCCACACATTCCTCTCTCTCTTCCATTCTTTTTCCTTATCTGTAAAACGAGGCCTCAGTTTCCTCATCTGTAAAATGAGAGGATTGGACTAGATTGAGGGGGTTAACCTTTTTTGTATGGATCATAGACCCCTTTTGCAGTCTTAATCAACCCTATGGATCCCTTCTCATAACTATGCTTTTAAATGCATAAAGTCAAATGCCTAGGATTACAGAGGAAACCAATAAGATTGAAATACAGTTATTGGAATAGTAAACATTCCAAGTTCATGAACTAGATTAAGAACCTATAGATTAGAGGATTTCTGAGGTCCCTTCCAGCTCTAAATCTGTGATTTATTTATTTTATGATCATTTTTCTACAGTTTATAGGGATTCTTTTCAGGGAGAATTTTTTCCCCCAGGCTTTGAGGAAATGAAAACCTTCTTCTATCTTCTACATTCTTCTTATTAAAAAAAAACTTTAAATGAGTGGGAACCCCTATCCTGAGAATCTGTCTGCCCCACCCTCCTTCGAGTCTAAGAGAGGAAGAGGGTTCCCTCTAGTTCCCTTGGCAGGAGCAGTAAGACGGTGACGTTGCCCAAGATCACCAGGCGATGGATCTCCCCAGCACAGTTCTCATCATGGACTCAGAGTATGAGCAAGGCCACGTTCGTAAGCTGCAGGCACAACATATGAGGATGCAGGAGAAAACCTTCACCAACTGGGTCAATAACGTCTTTCACCACGGCAAGGTAAGTATTTACGTCCTCACTCCCACCTCCAGTCTCTTTCCATCAATAGGCTCCTCTTCTGCTGCTTACTAGCTGTATGACCTTGAGCAAGTCACTTAATCTGGAGGAGGTTGTGGTCCAGAGAAAACACACTGGCTCTGGAGTCAAGGGAGCTGGGTTCGAATCCTGTTTCTCACACGATCTTGTGACCTTGGGCAACTTGCTTCACTTTTCTCAGTGTCCTGATCTGTAAAATGAGGGAATTGGACTAGATGGCCTCAGGGGTCTGTTTCAGATCCAGATCTGTGATCCTAGGACCCATGCTCCAGATCTGCTCCCCCCAGCAAAGGGATCAGCCTCTAAAGCCCTGTGTCACCCGTCCTGCCCCTTGGGATACCCTCTCAGGGCCGATGAGCACTATACCCCCTCCCCACGGAAATCCCAGCGCTGTGATTGTGTATGTGTTGAGCGGTGGGGAGGGGAACGAGGGGGTAGACAGGCCACCGCAGGGCCCAAGATGCTCTGTGAGTCTCTGGAGTTAGAGAGAGAAAGGCTAGTCTAGGCTGACTCTCTCTGCCTCCCCCTTCCCAGGCTGGCATCAGGATCCAGAATATGTACATCGAGCTGGGAGATGGTACCCACCTGCTGAAGCTGCTTGAGCTCATATCTGGGGAGGTGCTGCCCCCGCCCAACCGAGGACGAATGCGAGTGCATTTCCTGGAAAACAACAGCCGGGCTCTAGCCTTCGTGAGGTCCAAGGTGAGGCCAGGAGCCCAGAGTCTCAAGAGGGAGTGTGGCTGTGACTTCCCGAGCCCAGGGCAGTAGCTGGCTCTAAGACTGGAAGGCAAAGAAAGATGGACAACAGCGGGAATCAGGGGCAATCCCACCTCCCCCACTATCCTCCCTCGAAAACACGGGTGTGGCTTTGAGAATACTTCAAGTCAAATCAGGAAGGAGTAATTCTAGTGTAAATTGGAGTTTGGGTATATTAGTATCTATTCTAAGAGCCCTGTTTGGTCAGGAGGGTGATTTAGCAATCCTGACAGCTGAAACCCAGATGTACGAACTGTGGAATGTAAGAGTGAGGAAAGGAAACAGGGCCATTCTAATGTAAGGGAAGGCGATGCTGAATAAGGCCAAGATGAGGAGAATTATAATAGATCGTGTATACAATGCTTTCAAGTTTGTGAAGAGTTTCAGATGTATTATCTCATTTGGCCCTTATGACAACTCTCAGACGCAAGTAGTAACCAAAATAAGTCAATAAGGATTTATCAGGGCTTCCTATGAGCAAATATGAGCAGAAAGACAGTGCCTGCCTTCAAGGCACATACCTTCTTCTAGGGGAAGACAGCATGTAAAAGGAAGCTCAAAAGTGGGGTGGTGAGAGGGTAAGACACACACAGGGGCTCGGTAGAGACAGTCCAGAGGAGTGAAGTCTGGAGAGGAATAAAGGCATGGCTGGCCTGGGCACTTTCCTTAAAATGGAAGATCTGAGAGGAAATGGCCAATCAAAGGAAGAGGACTCAGGGTTGAAATGTGTTTCTGGGGTGAGAAATCTAGGGGTGAACTGGACTTTCAGGGTAAGGAGGCTGCTGTGGCTGGTAGAGAAGATCCTGGGAGTTAGGAGTGGAATCTGGAGAGGTTATTACCTATTTTTCCATATTAGGAAACTGAGGCTCAACTAGCTTAAGTGAGTTGCCCATGATCACATAGTAATTATTAGTCAGAATTTGAACCCAGGTATTTCCTAATTCCAGGTCCAATTCTCTTTAGAAATGTTTAAAATTTCTTTTTTTATTATGACTTTAACAATCACCAACAAATATGTATCTTTCACGATGCAATGATCAGGAAAGAAGATTGTCTATGGCACTGTGGACTTCTGTTATCTACAGCTTTTTAAAAAGTATATATTAAACTTAACACAGTAGTAACAACGTTGCCCTTTTTCTAACTCTCTTTCTGATATATAAAACTGTTAGGACTCATTTTAAAGAAACAAATCAGATACATGGCATGATTAGTTTCAGGGAATAGCTGTTGGGAAAGACTAAGAAGGAAGAGAGGAGAAGGACTTTACTATGGACTATATGTCCAGGAATGAGATGGGGGTGGGAAGGAGAAGGTGAGAGAGAGAGAAAGAAAAAGAGAGACAGACAGAGAGAGACAGAGAGACAGAGAGAGAGATGTAGAAAGAGAATAAGAATTTGGAACAGTGCAACTGTGCTGTTCCATACAATAATGTCTATTTATAGACCTTGTAAGAGCTATAAGTATAATAGCAAAGCATTTAGTTAAGACCTCAAAACCATGTAAATAGTAATTGAGAACTAAAAAAAGTTGTCATTTTTTTTTAAGTTTTTTGTTCACAGCAACTTTGTGAGGCAGATAGGGCAAGTATTCCCATATTAAAGATGAGGAAAGCGATGCTTAGAAGATTACTTGCCAAAGATCTCAAGGCTATTTAGGATTAGAACCAGGGTTTTAACCCAGGTCTCCTGACTCAAAAGGACTCAGAAATTAGTGTTTTTTCCACTACATCCTGAGAGGAAAAGAATGATGGGGAAGAGGTAGGAGATTGGCCAAGGAGGGTAGGGGATAGGTGTGCCCCCTCTTCGGTGACCAGGAGGAACCCAAAGGCCCTGGCCCTACACATGGATCCCCTAAGCTCCGAAAGCCCACTCACTCTGCACTCCTTCTCTTCCACCAATCCCCCCACCAGGATTCATCAAAGCTCCTCTTGCTGACTTTTCAGGTGCCAGTGCCCCTAATTGGTCCAGAGAACATCGTAGATGGGGACCAGACCCACATCCTTGGACTCATCTGGGTCATCATCCTGCGTTTCCAGATCTCTCACATTTCCCTGGACAAGGTACCACTCAGACCCAGCTCTCATTTTCCCCTCACTTCTCCTTTCCTAGCCTTCACCCTCCCTGGTCACACCTCCCCTTCCTCCTTTTTGGACCTTATATGGATTTCATAGCCTGATGATTGAATTATGGCTCCTGCCTCCCTTTACTGCCACTGCCTTGAGGATTCTGCTCCTCTCCTCTTGTGCCCTAAGGACAAAAGAAAAAAGAAACTCATGTTCACAGATGTTGTTGTTACTGTTATTATTTCTGTGTTGTTATGTTCTGTCATCTGCGTTATAAGTTTGAGGTAGACCTCAGGGGAGGATATATCCATTAAGTCAAGGCTTCTTTATTTTATTAATTTATTTTGATTTATCAACAATCACTTCCATAAGCTTTTGAATTTTAAATTTTTCTCCCCCTCCCTCCTACCTCCTCCCCCAGATGGCCCGTAATCTGATATAAGCTATACATATACATTCCTATTAAATATATTTTAACATTAGTGATGTTGTAAGGAAGAATTAGAACCAATAGGAGGAACCACCAGAAAGAGGAAACAAAACTCAACAGAAGAAAAAAAAATAGCAAATAGTATGCTTCGATCTGCATTTGAACTCCATAGTTCTTTCTTTGCATGTGGATAGCATTTTCCATCATGAGACTTTTGGAGATGTCTTAAATCAAGTCAAGGCTTCTTTTAACGGCTAACAATTTTGACTGAGAACTAAGGGGTGAACCCGGTGCCTTAGTTATCCACTTCATTTTGAGAGGCAGAAGACAGGAGATAAAAAGGTGGCCTTGGAGCCAGGAAGGCATAAAATAAAATACGGAGGATTACAGAAAAAAAAAAAAAATTAAGTTCATGGACCGCAGATTAAGAACACTTGTCCTAAGACATCGTTGTTTTGGTTTTGTTTGCAAGCATTTTTTCCTCTCCTGACAACTGGCTCAGAGGAGTTTCTGACTGTTACACAATCTGAAGTCTAGACTCCGATTTGCAGGGCAGGTACCAGACTACATTGGTAGGAGACGAGTTTATTCTGGGGAATTCTCTGCACCAGTAAAATCACAGGCCTGGACTGCCCCTCTCCCCTCCCACCATTGGGATATTACTCTCTGACATAACTACTGACATTTTTTTATCCCCAGGTTCTCTAATCCTAAATCCTTATCTATGCCAAGAATTCAAACAGGGTCTCAGCTCAGATAGAAAGGAAGAAATATTTGAGGTAGCTAGGTGGCATGGTGGATAGAAGGCTGGGCCTGGAGTTAGGAAGTACTGAGTTCAAATCCTACCTCAGATACTAGCTGTGTAACCTTCAGCAAATGCTTTAACCTCCCTCATGATCATGGAGATAATAATAGTACTTATCTCATAAGGTTGTTACAAGAACCAAATGAGATGATAATAATGACTAATATTTATGTAGGGGCTTACTTTGTGCCAGGCACTGTGCTTTTACAATTATTTTCTCATTTGATCCTTACAGCGACCCTGGAAGGTAGGTGCTATTATTATTCCCATTTTACAGGTAAGGAAACAGAGGCAAACAGAGGTTAAGTCACTTGCCAGGGTCACACAGCTAGTTAAGTGTTTGAGGCCAGATTTGAACTCAGGTTTCCTAACTCACTGCCCAGCACTATATCCACTGCATCACCAGCAGCCTCTAATATATATGCTGGCTATATAATATATATTAAGTACTTTGGGAACCTTCAAGTTTTCATATAAATCAGTATTATTAGTAATAGTCTTAAAAAGTATTCTCTGCCAAGCATAAGGTTGGCAGAGGGATGCAGGCTCCGACCCCAGGCCTGTCCCCCTTCCTCTGAGCTCGGTCCTGTTTTCCTACCAGGAGGAATTTGGGCCCAGTGCCGCTCAGCTGTCAGCTAAGGAGGCATTGCTGGTCTGGTGCCAGCGGAAGACAGCTGGCTATCCCTACGTGAACATCACGGACTTCTCCCATAGCTGGAGCGATGGGCTAGGCTTTAATGCCCTCATCCACACCCACAGGTCAGAAAATGGGCACCCTGTTCTCCTGCTTTCTCTCTCCCACCAGACATAGACCTGCGCCTCATTGTCAATGAACTCCAGGACCGTCTTTGATTCCCCCTGGGCCTAGGAGTAAGCACCCTAGGGCGGGGGGGGGGGGGGGGGAGGGAAAGTGTGCCTGGGAAAGTGCCTTGCTCTCTTTGAGTGTCTTTGAGGGCTGGTTGTCCTTCCCCCACTTCCCACTGTTGCACAATCTGGTCATTGGGTAGAGACTGGGCGTGGGAGCAGTGGCCTAGGGGATATGAGAATAATAATAGCCAGTGTTTATATATAGTACTTTAAAATATTCTGAGCATCTTACAAACATTATCTCATCTGAGCCTACCAATAAACCTGCGAGGTATTACTATCCTCATCTGTAAAATGGGTAGAGTTTAGAAAGGTCAAGTCACTTGTTCATGGTCATATAGGTAGTGTCAGAGGTGAAAATGGAACCTAGATTTTCCCAGCTCCAAATCCAGCACTCTATTCACTATAAAATGTGGGAATAGTTAGCACTGAAGTAAGGGGCAGGGGCAGGGGGAGATGGGGAGTGATCAATATCTGAGTTCCAGGCTCCCAGTTCAATCTTGTGGGCTAGCTTTACTCTGGGCAACATTGTGAACCTGGCACAATTTATCTTTACCCACTTTTCTCAGTTTCTCCCTCACTTCAAGCAAAGGTTTTTACGACCACTTGTCCAGTAGGATCGCTAGGTGGTGCAGTGGATAGACTGTTTGTTGGACCTGGAGTCAGAAAGATCCGAGTACAAACCTGGCCTCCAATATTTAATAGCTGTATGACCCTGTTCAAGTCACTTCAACGCTGTCAGCCTCAGTTTCCTCATCTGCAAAATGGGGATAATAGTTACCTATCAAATAGCACAGGGCTGTTGTGAGGCTCAAATGAAATCACATATGTAAAGTGTTTTGCAAACCTCAAAGTGCTGCATAAATGTTAGCTGCTGTTATTATTATGGGAGGGATTCTTTTTCAGGTACAAGTTGGAATTAGATGGCCACCTAGGTCCCTTCCACCTCTGAAATTCTGTGATTCTATGATAGAGTAACTTAACCCATGCTTGGGTAGGCAGAGGAACTTTATTATTATTATTAATTTTATAGGAGGAATTCTTTTTCAGGTATGATTTGGTCTAGATGGCCACCTAGGTCCCTTCTAACCCCACAATTCCGTGATTCTGTGATAGAGTGACTTATCCCATGCTCAGTTAGGCGGAGAGACATGCGCCCTGCCCGACAAATGGGTGGGCAATTCTAGGCCCAGGTGAGCTCCGCGGGACTCCCTCCATCGCCCTGCGGTCCCCCTCCTCGGGCTCTGGCTTTGGTCCTTCCCTAGGTCACTATCTCCTGCCGACCTCCCGCAGGCCTGACCTGATCAGGTACAGCTCCCTGCGGCCCGAGCACCCCCTGCACAACCTGGAGAATGCTTTTGAAGTGGCTCACAGAGATCTGGGCATCTCCAGGCTGCTTGACCCTGTGGACATTGCTGTTCCACAGCCTGAGGAGCGCTCCATCATGACCTATATCTCTCTCTACTATCACTACTTCTCCCATCTACACCAGGGACAGACTGTCCAGAAGAGATTGGCCAAGGTCAGTGGGGAAGGGTGGGAAGACGGCTATAGGAAATGGGGGGGGGCACTGCTCAGCTGTGCCCTCCCCCTGCCCCTTTACACTTCCTCCTCAGCCCTGAGGTCACTAATTCCCTAAGAGGATTGCCGGACAGAAAGTAAAAGGGAGAGTCAACAAGGGCAAGGTGCCTGCTCTGGGGTGAGAGGAAAAGGGGAAACCTCATCCCTGAGCAGAAGCCATGAATCTTTTTGGTGCCATGAGCTGCTGGGGGCGGTGGCAGAGCCTGAGGCGTGGGGCCGCTGTCATTGGGGTGGGTGTCCCTCGGGGACATTCAAGTCAGTGGCCTTGAGCTGCTGGAGGAGGGGAGGGGGCAGAACAGGGCATCAGAGGGGCAGAGAGTCTGGATGGGCATGGAAGGATCAGGGATCCCAACCTCCACAGCTGAGGAAGACGGCAGAGCCAAACCCGCTCCCCTCCCTTACCAGCTGCCCTCTCTGTGCTTGGGTGAGGGGAGGTGACCCTGTAGGACGATCGGGCATCTCGTCTATGGGGCAGGCAACCTTTTAAAAATGTTTCCGCTGCAAGGGTAGGAGAAAGCCACTTTGTGGGCATTGGGGGCACTCAGGTGGTCCTCACTGCAGGAGCTGAGCCATCCCAGTTCTCAGCCCACCCCATTAATTCCTGACTTTCTCCTCCCCTCTGTCCCAGATCCTGCAGCAGCTACAAGAGACAGCCAAGTTGCAGGCTCAGTACGAGCAGCTAGTGTCAGATCTGCTGGGCTGGATCACCGAGCAGGTGGCCCAGCTGGAGGAGCGACGTTTCCCAGACACCCTCCCGGCCATGCGTCAGCTGCTGGCCGCCTTTGCCGCCTTCCGCAAGGAGGAGAAGCCCCCTCGGCTAGAGCAGCGAGGGGCGGCCGAGGCGCTGCTGTTCCGCCTGAGCACTGCCCTGCGCGCCCAGAACCGCCGGCCTTTCCTGCCCCCCGAGGGCCTGGGGCCGGGGGAGCTGGGCAGGCGCTGGGCGGGCCTGGAGAGGGCCGAGGCCTGTCGGGAGCACGCCCTACAGGAGCAGCTGCTGAGGTTGGAGAGGTTAGAGACGCTGGCCCGACGCTTCCAGCGCAAGGCCGCCCTCCGGGAGAGCTTCCTGGTGGACGTGGAGCAGGTGCTGAGCCAGCTGGGCACTCCTGTGCCCAGCTCTGCCCTGCTGAGCGCTGCCCTCCAGAAGCTGGGGTCGCTGGAGGCAGATGTGCAGCCCCAGGAGGGCCGCTTCCAGGCCTTGGCTGAGATAGCCTCCTTCCTGGAGCAGGAGCGGTACCATGGCTGGGCAGATGTGGTCCGAAGGTGAGGGTCCTTTCCCAACAGCAGCTCCCCCTTCTCCTGGCCCACTTCACCCTGATTCCATCCCAAGCCTGTCCAACCTCCCCAGTCCTCAGACCGCCTCTGCAACCCCCCACAAGACCACAGGGGAAGCCTCCCCAAACACTCACCAGTCATTTCTAACAGTAAAACTCCCTTAGGAATATCCCTCTCAGGGATGCCTAAAGCGCATACTCACTCAGCACTTGTCTAATCTAACACATACCATAAGGGAGTCCTCACATAGGATACCAAAACTCTTTCACCATTAACAATTCATTCCTTTGACATTAGTGCCTACTCTCTAGGTCAACTCTCTTTAAATTAAAATACCTCTGAAAGGGGGTAATCCATTAAGCTTCTTACACCTTCACGTGAATGATGTATTAGAAGAGAGCCTGCCAACGTGAGGGCCTGAGGCTCTTGTCTTAGAATAAGAGTTTTTAACTTTTTTATGTCATATTCCCCTTGAGTAGTCTGGTGAAACCTATGGACCCTTCTCAATAATAACTAGCTAATAATAGTAGCTACTTATAGTGCTTACTGTATACCAGGCACTACAAAGACCACTTTACAACTATTATTCATTTGATCTTCACAACTACCCTGGGAGGTAGGTACTATTATTATCTCCATTTTATAGGTGAGGAAACTGAGATGAACAGAGGTTAAGTGACTTGCCCAGGGTCACACAGCTAGTAAGCGACTGAGGTCAGATTTGAACTCATATCTTCCTGACTCCAGGCCCAGCACTCTGTCTACAAAATAAAATACGAAGAAATACAAAGGAAACCAATTATATTAAAATACAGTTATCAAGATATTTTTAAAAATCAAGTTCACACACCTCAGGTTATGAACCCCCTGCCTTAAAGGAAGGGCATATTTGGTGAGAAGGCCCAGAAATGAGGGTCTAGGACACAGGGTAAATTATATGCATGAAGGCTAGGACCACTCTGCCTCTGGATGAGATTCCTCAACACACACTAGCTGACGAATAAGAACCCCAAGGCAGGTGTAGACCAGTAGGACCTCTCTATCTGCATTGTCTAATCCATCCCTGTTCTTATCTCTGCTGTAATGAATGAATGAATAAGCCAATGAAAGAAAGAAAAAAAGCATTTATTAAAGGCTTACTATATGCTAAGCCGTGGGGGAATTAAAAAAAAAAAAAAGCAGAAATGGGTCCTGTCCTCATTTCTAATGAGGAGAACATAGCACATGTAAGTGATTAGTGGCCAGGGAAGGACATTTTTGGTTTGGAAAGTTACAGGTTTGGTGATAAGGCAGCAAAGGAGTACATCCTTTCCAGGAATAGCGGCAGTACAGGTTTGCTTATGGTTCCAGAATTGGAAGGGGGTGGGATGGAGTAGGGGGGTTACCACTTAGGTGAAGGAGGCACTGAAAAGTAAAGTTATTGCTTGTCTACACCTGAAATAAGCGGGCCAGGTGAGACCCTTATTAGTCAGGACAGCTGGGACCCAGGAGAGGCGTTCTGGAGCTGATAGAATTAAGATATCCAGGACATGAGGCAAGATGGCAGGTGAGAAAATGACCCAGGTGGAAATAAGAAAAGATTTGGTCTGGGGGACTGGAGGTGGGGAGATGACCTGATGTTGGAATCCCATTTTTGCTACTGCTGTGTGACCTCAGCCAAATTATTTAACTTCTCTGGGTCTTCATCTCTAAGGACTCATCCGATTCTAATCCTCGATTTACAGACGAGGACTTGAGGTAGCCATTGCAAGGGGCACAAAATCAGGGCTGAAGGTCCTCTGACTTTGGAGTTCCTGAGGCTGCCAGCAGACCGCACCAGGCCCTCGCCACTCCTGTATGTGGTGTCCTCCCCCCACCATCCCTCCTCCTGTCTCCTCTCCAGGCAGAAGGAGATCTCTCAGCGCTGGGAGCGGCTCCTAGGAGGGCTTCACCAAAGGAGGGAGCATCTGGCAAGCTCTCGGGTGGCATTGGGGCTGCTTCAAGAAGTCGATGCTGCTGATGAAGAGCTGAAGGAAATACAGGTCATACCCACGGAACACAGCCCATTGGGTCCACAGTGTTTGGGCAGCTAGGTGGTGCTGTGGATAGAGGGCTGGGCCTAGAGTCAGGAAGACCTGAGTTCAAATCTGGCCTCAGGCCCTTACTAGTTCTGTGATCCTGGGCAAGTCACTTATCCCCATTTGCCTCAGTTTCCTCATCTGTAAAATGAGCTAGAGGAGGAAATGGCAAACTACTTCAGTATCTTTGTCAGAAAAATCCCAAAAGGGGTCACAAAGAGTCAGACGTGACTGAAAATAACTAAACAATAAAGTCTAGGGCACTGAATTAAGAGTCGGGAAGACTCGAGTTCACAACCTGTCTCAAGATACCAGCTATGAAACCCTAGAAAGTCATTTAACCATGCTGTGCCTCAGTTTCCTCATCTTTAAAATGGGAATAACAACAGGACCTACCTTATAGGTTTGTTGTAAGGGTCAAATGAGATAATACATGTAAAGTACTTTGCAGACCTTACTATAATATACAGGGTGTGCCAAAGGTCTTAATATACTTTTAAGCTAATAAAGCTTAAAATCCCAAACCCCAATAAATCCGCAACAATACTAACATCATACCTAAACCAAAAACATACAAAATACTGATGTAGCACTTTCAGCTAATAAAGCTTAAAAAACAGCAGTAAGACTTTTGAAATACCTTGGATAAGTATTAGCTATTGTTATTCTATTATTATTATTATTATTATCATAACTCCAACAGGAGCCCAGCATATCACCCCTGGGTATGCTGCTTTCCACAGCATTGGCCCCAGGGACACTCCCTGGTCCTCACTTCAGTATGGGGTGCATCACCTACCCACGGCACTGACCCCTGGGGGCAGCGGTTGGGACTGGCAGCCCTGTGATGGGCACTGCGCTGACCGTGGTTCTCCGGCCCCAGGTGCTGGCAAGTTCCTCGGCCTGTGGGCAGCACCTGGCAGAGGTGGTGGAGCTTCTGCAGAGACACGAGCTGCTGGAGGCGCAAGTCTCCTCCCAGAGTGCTCCTGTGAGCCACCTTATCCAAAGGACCACGGAGCTGAGCACCGTGACAGGCACCCACCTGGACGGGCTGCAGATCCGAGCCTGGGGCTTGTCACAGGTCTACCAGAGTTTGATTGTGCTCGTCAGAGCCCGGTGAGAACCCATTCTCCACCCCTTCTCCTACTGAGACCTGTTAAGGCCAAGGTCCCAGCACTGCATCCAGGGCCATTTCCAGTCGTCCTGATCCATATCTGGCCACCGGACTCAGATGGCTCTGGAGGTGAAGGGGAGGCTGGTGGCTTTGCACAGCCCTGCCTCACTCAAATCCAATTCACTTGCACATCATGGCATCACCTCCCTGATGTCAGGGTCAACAACCCCACCCTGTCACATTCTTGACCAGTTTCCAAACTCTTTATTTCTCATCTAAAGTTGTCCTGGGACTCTAAGGAACATGCCACCCTACTCAAACCAATGTCAATGCTTCGAGCATCTCTCCCTTTACTCTCTCTGCTCCCTTGGCACTTCCCTCCCCTTCCCTTCCCCAAAGGCTTCAACAAGAGAGGCAACCTTTCTGAGGGTGGATGGGACTGCTCTGTCCACACATGGGGCTCCATTCTCTCTATTGGCAGCTAGGCGGCTGGCGCTCTAGACTTCGAGGCAGGAAGACCTGAGTTCAAATTCTGCCTCAGGCACTGACTAGCTGTGTAACCACGGACAAGCCCTTTAACCTTTCTCTGTCTCAAGTGACTCCTCTGTAAAATGAGATAATCATAGGCATACTTCAAATTATACGTAAAGTGTTTTACAAACCTTGGAATGTTATTATATAAATGTTAGTTATCGTTATTATGGTTATTGTTGTTATTACGACTGCTGCCTCCTAAGCCCCCTGGACTGGTCTTTCTCCCAGGCGGGCCCTGCTGGAGCAGGCCCTCCAGCAGGCTGAGTTCCTGAACAGCTGTGAGGAAGAGGAATCCTGGCTCCGAGAGAGGATACAGCTAACTCAGGCGGCTTCCTTGGGCCGGGACCCGGGCCACATCACAGCAACTCTGTGGAAATACAAGGTGCTTGCAGTAGCCTCTACCCATGGTCCCCTGCACTTCCTTAATCTCCCCTCTCTTCTCATCCCACTGTGGACCCTGCCCCTCCTTTCACCTTCTTTTTCTTTCTGCCTTCATCCCTTCCCAGCACTGTAATCCCTCTTGTCCCTCATGCCTCTGCCCTTTGAAAGGCAGGATGACATAAGGGATAGACTACTAGACCAGGAATCAGGAAAACCTGAGTTCAAAGTCCACCTGAGATACTTACTAGCTGTGTGACCCTGGGCAAGGCACCTAACTAACCTCTTTGTGCCTCAGTTTCCTTATCTGTAAAATGGCAGTAATAATAAATAGCAGATACCTCACATAGGTATGAGGATCAAATCGGGCAAGGAGAATGTAACCCAGGTCCCAAGGCTCATTGGCATGGGACTCTGTCCTTATCGATGGAGATGAATGCCCTACCCTGTGGGAGGGGCAGAGCAGAGCTGGCAAGAGGAGAGAGCTTCAGCTCTTGGCCGGTCCCCTTTGGGACTCCTCAAGCTTCAGAATTCTCCAAGTGTTGAGTCATTTTGGCCGCTTCTGGCTTCCAGCTGCCAGAGAGAAGATGGAAGAGGCCAACCCCGCTTCAGGGTGCTGAAGGAAGTCCCTATTCCCGGCTTGTTACACGCTACAGTCTGCGAGGAGTTTCTCTCCAATGGCTGAGCCATTGTTACCTCGATCCCTATAGGAAAGCTCCTTCGCTCCGCGTCGTCTGGTATATATTCTCCTATGTTTTTCAGTCATTTCAGTCACTTCAGACTCTCCATGACCCCATTTGGGGTTTTCTTGGCAAAGATACTGAAATGGTTTGCCATTTTCTTCTCTGGCTCATTTTCTAGAAGAGGAAACTGAGGCAAACAGGATTAAGTGACTTGCTCAGGGTCACACAGCTAGTTAGTGTCTGAGGCCATATTTTAACTCAGGTCTTCCTGACTCCAGACCCTGTGCTCTATCCACTGTGCCCCCTAGCTGCCCCTGTGCCTTCTTTGATTTCTGTTTTGCTATGATTTGGATAAATGCATTTCTTTGCTATTCACTGTGTTCGTTATTTGATGGGAAAGGAGTCAAACCTTGGATATAGAGCGTGGAGCCCTCCTTCCCCCAATAATGACAAAGTGATCCGAAGTTAGATGGAGCCTGATCATATTATCCCTAAACTAATAGTATTTAAGCAGATAGATATGATTCTAGCCCTGGAGCCCCTCTCTCTGAGGAGAGCAGAGTGGTGGCTTCCTGCTCCCCCTCTGGCAGGAAGAAGGGTGGGGTGGGGGTGGAGAAGAGGCTGGAGATATCTTTTCTGCCTCCCTTCAAGCCATATGACAGCCTTCCCTACACACATTACAAACCTTAAGCTGCTATGTGGATATGAATCGTTATTAGTACTAGTTATTATTAAAATAATAATAATAATAATAATAGCTAGCACTTTAAAGTTTGCAAAGTATTTTACATTATCTCATTTGCTCCTCACACCCACCTTGATGTTGGAGCTATCATTATTCCCATTTTACAGATGAGTGGTTAACTGTTAGATCTTCCAAACGTCATTAGGATCATGATTAGCAGCAGTACTTTCCGCCTCCCCCACCAGGCCCTCATTTCTTCTCCTTCCTCCCTCCACCATTACATCGTCTGACTTTTCACTTCTGGGTTGTCTTCTCTTCTTGGTCAGGCCCTGGAGACTGAAGTCAGCTCCCACCAAGCGGTGTGCATGGAAATCACCAGGAAGGCCAAGGAGCTGAGCCCCCAGGGCTACCCAGGCCAGCCAGACCCACAGGATCGGGCAGAGGCCATCCACAGTCAATGGCAGCATCTCCGGGACAAGATGGCAAAGCTTCTGGCCTGTCTGCAGGCTGCCCTGCTCATCAAGCAGGTACAAGGCTTTGGAGAAAGGATGGGAAGGAAGGGTGGGAGCCATGGATCTCTCCTTCCCAATTGCTGTCCTCAAATCCAAGCTGTCACTAGGAATTCTTGTGCTGGAGGAAATTGTATTTGAGGATATGTTGAATAGAGAATAGTCAACCTTAGATGCAGTCCAGGAGATGGGGCAACCGTCCAACAGTGTGGCCAACAGTGCCTGATCTCCCAGTCCCAGGGAGGAGGCACCGAGGAGAGAGAAGGAAGACCTTTGGAAAAAGGTCACTGTGGCAGAAGGACCCTGGGGCTGGCATCCTCCTGCAAGGCAAAAAGGCAAAAGCAGGGAAAGAACCATTCCACGATAAGGAAGCACCTCTTCCACCTCGGTGGCCTGGAACAAATCTCTTCCTCCACCTTTTGGTTCCCCCCACCCTAGTATTTTGCAGATGTGGACGAGGTAGAATCATGGCTGCAGGAGCAGCAGTCCCTGTTGGCCAGTGAGGACTACGGGAAGGACGGGGCTGGCGTGGCGGTCCTGCTCCAGCGTCACCAGCGACTGGAGCGAGAAGTGTGGGCCTGTGGGCTGGAGGTGAGACGGCTGGAGGAGAAAGCGCAGACTGCCGCCGCCCATGCTGCACTCATGGTAATCAACCTGGCCCTGGTGAGATGGGAAAACAGGCTGAGCCCAGGATCAGATCGAAGACTGGACTCCCACTCCCCAGCCCCGGGGAGGACTGGGAAATGATCCCGGAGCAATGGAGCCGCCTAATGGAATGGAATGAACCGGATTTGAAGTTAGAGATTGCTGTTGTTCAGCCATTTCAGTCGTGCCTGACTCTTCCTGACCCCATTTGGGGTTTTCTTGGCAAAGATTCTGGAATGGTTTGCCATTTCCTTCTCCAGTTCATTTTACAGATGAAGAAACTGAGGCAACCAGGGTTAAGTGACTTGCCCAGGGTCACACAGCTAGTCAGTATCTGAGGCCAGATTTGAACTCAGGTCTTCCTAACTCTAGGCCCAGCACTCTATCCCCTGTGCCACTTGGCTGTCTCAAGTGAGAGGACCTGGGATCACATCCCAGCTCTGCTATTGATTGCCTTTGTGAGACTGGGAAAATTACCTCCCCTCTCTGAGCCTCAGTTTCCTTATCTGCAAAATGGTTGGATTGTACTAGATCATCTCTAAAGTCACTTCTAGTTCTAAATCAATGGTCCTTTGATTCCAGAAACAATTGAAATATGATTCCTTTATTAATCTTCTGCCTCAGGAAGACTTGAGTTCATATTCCACCAGAGACACTTATTAGCTGTGTGACCCTGGGCAACTCACCTAACCTCCATCTTCCTTAGTTTCTTAGTTTCATCTCTAAAATGAAGCTAATGAAAACTTCATCTGTCTCACAAGGTAAGGGATCAAATGAAAGCATGCAAACCTTAAAGCACTATGTGCGTGTGAGTTATTAATGGTTATTAATTATTTTCTCACACCTTTTAGAGCGTTGAATTTGGACTCAAGAAACCTAGGGCTGCCATCCAGCCTAGCCTCAGACTTCTCATTAGTAGAATGAGGGCGTTGGACTCAATGACCCCAGTGTCCCTACCAGCTCTAAAGCGCTGCTCCCGTGATCTTTGAACTCACTATTCTATAAGGTCCACCCTATTTCCCCTTTGAGGCCTAGGCTGAACCTTCTCCTTTGGGTCAGCAGTTTTCCATGGGTTATACAGTTTCCTGAGATCCTTTCAGGTGATTCTCTAGGTCAAAACTATTTTCATAATATTACTAAGATGCTTTGGTCAGTCAGTAAACATTCATCAAACACCTACTATGTGATAAATACTGTGTGAAGCACCAGACATACAAAAGGAGGCAAAAGACAGTCCCTGCCCTCGGAGGAGCTCACAAACCAATGATCTGATTTCAAATATTGGTAAATGCCAATAGATATAATTCACATAAACAAAAGCTCTTGGGGGTGGGTCCTCAATAATTTTTTTAAGAGTGTAAAGGGCTTCTGAGACCAAAAAGTTTGAGAACCACTGCTATAGATTGCTAGGTCTATAGGAAATAAGGATGTTTTGGGGGCAGCTAGGTGGTGCAGTGGATAGAGCACTAGCCCTGAGGTCAAGAAGACCTGAGTTCAAATCTGGCCTCAGACCAAACACTTGACACTTACTAGCTGTGTGACCCTGGGCAAGTCACTTAGCCCCAATTGCCTAAAAATAAAATAAAATATACATATAAAGAAATAAGGATATTTTTGGGGGGTCCCAAAGGCCACCTTATCTGAATCTTCATGATGGTGGACACTTAGGAACCTCAGTTTCCTAGAACTAAGCTTCCCATCACCAGCACATACTAGAATACCTGCAGCTCTCTTCCCTTGCTTTCTCTTCTCTCCTGTCTTTGCTCTTAAGATTTTTTTTCAACTGAAACCAGTTCATGTTATTTTCTTTAAGCCCCTTTCTCTGAAACTACAGTTTTTCTCAAAAGCCCACTTGGGTCTTTACAAACTCCCATCATATTGTACTATGCCACAGTGGCCCAGCTGAGCCTCCTTCAGTGATCACTACAGAAGACCATGACAATGACCACAACCACAACTACTACTATCACTACTACCATCACCACCACCACTACTACTACTACTATTACTACTACTACCACCACCACCACCACCACTACCACTACCACCACCACCACCACCACCACCACCACCACCACCACTACTACTACTACTACTTCTACTATAAATAATAATAATAATAACAGTTGAAGTTTATATTGTATAAGAGGCAGCATGGTAGAATGAATAGAGGGTTGACCTTGGAGTCAGGAAGACCTAGGTTCAAGTTCTGCCTCTGACGCATCCTGACTGTGACTCTAAGCAAGTCACTTAACTTCTTAGTGCTCCAGGTAAGTCTCTAAGACAACAGGTTGCAGAGCAGGTGCTGATCTGCATTGGAGGATGTAATTTCCTCACTGAGAGGTCCCTTTGCCAAAAAAATAAAAACTCTCCCAAATATTAATGTAACATTTTAAGGTTTGCAAAACACTTTGTCTCACCTGATCCTCATGACAACCCTATGAGGTAGGTGCTATTATTCCCATTTTTTGTCATTGCCATTCAGTCATTTTTTTTTAGTCATGTCCACTTTTCATGACCCCATTTGGGGTTTTCTTGGCAAAGATACTGAAGTGGTTTGCCATTTCCTTCTCCAGCTCATTTTATAGATGAGGAAACCGACGCAAACAGGATTAAGTGACTTGCCTAGGGTTACACAGCTAGAAAGTGTCTGAGGGTGGATTTGAACTCAGGAAGTTGAGTCTTCCTGACTCAGGCATGGCACTCTGTGCACCATGGCACCATGTAGCAGCCCATGTGTATGGCTTATCCCCCAAAAGGTTTATAAGTTCCTTGTGGGCCAGCACTATACTTTATACTCAAAGCCACAACTAGGAATTCTTATACCTAGAGCAAATTTTATTGGGGGTAGGGGAAAGACTGACCTCAGTGGCAGGCAGCACAGAGGACAGCTGACCAAAGCCTATTCCCTGAGAATTTAGTCTATGACTTCTCATATGTAGCCCTAAGAGAGGGGCACCAAAGCAACAGGACCTCACTGGTCTGTTATCCAGGACCAATGAACCTACTGGTCTAGGCACATTGAGGGTCAGTAGAGAATTTCCAAACCAGGCAGGAGGAGAAAGCATATGCCCCTCCCCACCAGATAGATACCAGCGCCTTGGGCCAAAGCCCAGTTCTCTCCACTCTGCTTAAGTACTTAATTTATTATCCCCAAAGTGTTCCACGCTTTGCTAGGCACAGAGTAGACACATAGAACAGGATCAAAGATTTAGAGCTAAAAACCACCTTTGAGATTATTTTGCCTAAGCTCCTTTATCTTACGGATGAGGAAACTGAGGCTTAGACAAGTTAAGTGAGTTTCCCAGGGTCACACAGCTCATGTCAGAGGTAGGATTTGAACCTTTGTGACTCCCAGTCCAAGACTCTCCACTAGGCCAACTAGCTGCTCTGAGGTTTTTGGTTGTTTTTTTTTTTGCGTGGGGTGGGGGGGGATTTGCCCAATTACTTATAGTCCATAGCCCCTCACCTCTTCCACTTTAGAGCCTTACTTTGGTCAGAATTTCTGTACCACCAATCTTCTGGGTAAGGGATGAACAGAGAGAGAGAGAGAGAGAGAGAGAAAGAATATGAATGGCAGGGGAGGAAGGAGAAGGGAGGGCAGGCTTCTCCACAGCTTTCAGCCTAGGAGGAGTGACAAGAAACCTTTCTGGAGCTCTGAGCAGAGCTATCCCCTCCTCCAGATGGAGAGCCAGGAAGGCAGGAGTCAGATGGATGGCGATGGAGCTAGGAAGTCCCAGGGCTGGCTACAGAACTCAGCAGCCTCAGCAGCGGCTGGCCATCAGCTCTGGGTCAGGATGCGTTTCACATACAGAGGTACCCAGGGTTGAAAAATGGGGCTCTGAGGGGTACCGCGGGCTCCTTCCCAATCTGGTCGGAAAAGTGTGGGTAGAAAAACAGCCTTCATTTCAACCCCTCTGCCTGCTGCCCCTGGAGCTTGGGGGAGAGTGGGGGGGTACTGTTAGCCACTTTGGAGACTGGAAAAGTATGATGTCTCCCATGGCCCCAAAGAAGCTCATAACACATCTCTCACACCATCACAAGGCAAAACCTGACTGGGGTGTTTCCCCAGTCCTTAGAAATGCTCATCCCGGGACAGCTAGGTGGTACAGTGGATAGAGAACTGGCCCTGAAGTTTTAGGAGGACTTGAGTTCAAATCCGGCCTCAGATACTTGACATTTACTAGCTGTGTGACCTTGGGCAAGTCACTTAACCCTTATTGCCTCACGCCCCACTCCCCCACCAAAAAAAAGAAATGCTCATCTCTAACTTCCTTCAAAACTCAACTCAATTACCGCCTCCCACAAGAGGTCTATCATCATCCACTCCCCACCCCCAGCTACTATCAATCATTCAACATTGATTAAGTGCCTACTATGTGCCAGGCAGTGTAGTAAGGGCTAGGGATACTCTCCCCCAACTCAAATTATTTTGCATTTTTTGGTACATATTTATATGTATACATGTTGTTTTTCTGGTAGAAATATTCTGGTAGAATATAAGGCCCCCCTCCCCTACGAGGGCAGTGAATATCTCATTTCTGTCTTCATATCCCTATTCCTTAGCACAGTCTGTGGCACATAGTAGGTACCTAACATATTCTTGTTGTTTGGTTGATTAATATCCGCTACTTTCCCTCTACGCCAGTTCCCCAGGAATAGCCAGAGCACTGAGCAAAGGGAGACTGAGGCAGTTATAAGCTCCAGACCCCTAACTAAGAAAGACTGTAATCCCCAGCGCAAGGACCATATGCAACACTTGTGCTATATATTCTCACTTCAGGACCCAGTACTGTTAGGTACATAGTCAGTGTTCAATAAATACTTATCCATTATTTGATTGATTGAAAATGGGGGCTACTGACTCTCAGCTTCCCCTCCTCCCTCCACCCCATGCTATACTCAGATCACTCCTCTCTACAGGGGAGAGCCTCACCTGGATCCGGGGAGACATCCTGGAGCTGGTTGCCAAGACAAGTCCTTCCACCTGGAGGCTAAAGGACGCAGAAGGTTGCCAGGCAGAAGTGCCAACAAGCTATGTCACAGAGCTTGATCCTCCCCAGGTACTGCTTCAGAAACCTCATTCTGTGCCCAAATACCCATAGTCAAACAAAGCAAATTCCCTTTTTGGTCATTTCTAGAAACGTTTGTCTCACGGAACGAGGTTAGGGTTTTTTGTTTGTTTTTGAGATCGGACCTCCTTATCTGGCCCAGACTAGAAATGTAGGGGCTACTCACGGGCTCATGCCAACTGTTGATGGACACCAGGGCTTTGATGTGTTCCTCTCTCGTGGCTCTGCCTGTACTGGGGAGGTTGAGGCTGGGGGATCAGTTGAGCTCTAGATTCTGAGCTGCAACCCATCTGGTCAGTCTGCTCTAAGTCTGGCACCAATGTAGCAAGCCCTCAGGAGCTAGGCCATCTGACGTGCCAGGAAAGTGCCAGTCAGCAGTGAGATTAAGTCCATGAGTGCCACTGCACTTCTGATCTGGGCCAGAGAAGGAGGCCGAGTCTCAAAAAAAACAAACGAAAGAACCCAACCCAACCTCATTCTGAGAGACAAAATTCCTGACCTGGCATAAGAGAGACTATGAGTATGGGTATTTGTTTTCTTTTTTCCTTTTATTCAATTGGGAGACAGGGGTAGGATGGATTGAGGGGGAAAAAATAAAGCCTTGTTAATTGAAAACAAATTAACTTTAAAAAAAAAGATCATCCTTCTATATACTACACACACACACACACACACACACACACACACACACACACACACACAAAACTTCCTTCTTCTGAGGAAGCTGGTCACTGATCACATTAGCCTTCTGTCATCACAGGTGGCATCACTGATGAACCCCTTACGTGAAAAACCAAAGAACCAGAGAACCAGGCAGATGCCCTCATGGCAATCTGTCCACTGGGGCACCCAGGAGATCACCAGCCCATTGGAGCTAGATCTTCATTTTGACCCTGAAACAATCTGCAAGACCCAGGACCACCTGAACCAGGAATACCAGGTCCTACAGGCCTTGGCACAGGTATTTGATTTATGTCCTTGGAAAATGCCACCTCTGAAACAGTAGTTCTCAAAACCTAAGTTTCTGAGGCACCTTCTGAGGAGCTTTGTGTCTCATCAAAACTATTTTCATTATAATACTAAAATATTTTTATTTCAAACATGGTATCAATATATATAACCCACATAAACAATTAAAAATCTCTGAAGAACTCAATTTTCAAATGTTATTTTTAATTTATTACTTATTTTAAATATTCTTTTTTAAAATTTTGAGTTCCAAATTCTCTTCCTCCACTAGACCTTCCCCCACCCATTGAGAAGGCAAACAATATATCGATTCTACATATGAAATTATGCAAAACATAATTCTGTATTATTCGTATTGCAAAAAAATAAAGTGAGAAAATGATGCTTTAATTTGCACTCAGAGTCCATCAAAAACTCAGTAATTTTTAAAGATCCTGAGACCAAAAACTTTGAGAACTGCTGGTCTAACAGCTGTGTGAATGCCCCCTCACTATCTCCTTCATTCTTCATCATCTACAACCCCCAGACTATCAAGTTCTGCACAGCAGGAAGCCTGGGAAAGCGTGAAATTCTGGGAGAGGGGCTGGGGCTTGAACCATAAGACTCGAGGAGAAGTAGGGCCGAGGACTTGAGAAACAGCTGATTCCTCCCATCTGACCTCCACTCAGCTGCCTAGAGGGAATGGGTTATAAGGGATGCTTCTCCATCCTCTCTGCTGGGCCCCTCCACCTTCATCCTGAGGCATCCTGGACCTTTCTGTCTTTAGCATCGCAGGACCCAGCTAGAAGAAATGTCTACCTTGTTCTGTTTCTATGACTCTTGTGGAGAACTCCAGTCCTGGTTAGAGGACCAGACAGTGTTGTTCCAGACCCTGAATCCCCAGGCTGAGAATGTGGAGGTCGACAGGAATAAATTTGAGGTATAGCCATGGGCATGCTAGTAAATGTTTAACCACCAGCTTTCAAAACAAACAAAAAAAGCTCAGTTCACATTTTCAAATTTAATCTGCATTATTGGCATATTTTCCAACACTTTCTTGAGGTTAGATCAAATCAATGTCAAATTCAAAGCCTGTGGGCCTCAACCAGCTAGCAAAACTCTAGTGCGGCAGAACCAGATTAAAATGTAATCAGGAAATGTTTAACAAAATAAATAAAAATACAACATAGATAATGTCAATTTGTGGTTTTCTAAGTCATTATGAGGTCTACAGGGATCCCTTTCTGAGTTTGACAATGCTGGTCTAGACAATCAACAAAACCATAAAATCAAGCCCTAATTTGTGGCATCTGCCCATTTCTGAGGTGTAAATGCTCAAACTGAAAATTTAACAATGGGCTCTTGGAACTGGCCCACCCTGGAAGAAAGAGGTTTCCTGAGCATTTAAGCCCCTGCTCTTCCACCTCATCCATGACTGTCTCCTCTCCCCTCAATCTTCTTCATTTCCAGATTAAGTCATTTGCCCAAGGTCACATAAACAGGTGGTTCAAATGCCAACTCTCTCTCTCTCTGTCTTTCTGTCTCTGTCTCTCTGTTTCTCTCTCTCTCCCCCCCCGACACACACATAAACACACATACACACAGAATAGCAGTCCTGGGATTTGAACCCAAGTCCTCTGACTCCAAATCTAGTATTCTTTTCATTGTATTTGAAGTCAGAGGACCTGGATTCAAATCCTGGTTTGGCTGGTTACTGCCTGTGCGACCTCTAGTAAGGCCGTACATGTCTCCTGACCTTTATTTCACTATCTGTAAAATGAGAGGATTGAACTAGTCCAGTGGGGTCAAATTCAAATAGAAACAGATCCCTATGGGCTGTGTATCGATTCAGAAAACCACAAATTGTATTGTATTGGTTTTTAAATTTATTTTGTGGAACATTTCTCAAATTATATTTTAATCTGGTTGGAAGCACTGGGGAGCTATGGAGCCTGTGGGCACTGGGTTTGACACCTCTGGTAACTAACCTTAGATGTACCCTCCCTGATCTAAATCTGTGAATCTCTGATTCCTGTTACTCTTCACCTCTGGTGCCAACTTCATGTTGGTGATTTTGGCCTTGAGTAACCACAGATCTGGGGGGCTTCTGGTCCATTCCCCTCACTCCTACAGGGACCCAATTCATTGTCTCTGAAACAATGTCTCTGGCCTCTCCAGGAAGGGGTAGGACTGAAGTGTCAGTGGATCAAGTGCCATGCCTGGAGTCAGGAAGACTCATCTTACTGAGTTCAAATCTGGCCTCAGACACTTACTAGCTGTGTGACCCTATTTGCCTTAATTTCCCCATCTGTAAAATGAGCTGGAAAAGGAAATGGCTAACCACTCCAATATCTCTGCCAAGAAAATGCCAAATGGGGTCACAAAGAGTAGGACATGACTGAAAAATGACTGAACTGAAGGACTGAGGTATCACTGTTGTGGTCTAGGAATCTTGGGAACCCTGAAATTCAAGGGTGAAGGGCGCAGATCTGCCTCAAAAGAATTCGACCACTCAAACCTCCTTTCAGTCCATGTAGTTTATTAAAACACTGGTTGGGGTGGGCGAGATTCCCAGTGGGTCTGTGCTATTTGTGATGCCAATACAAGTGGGTCAGATTTTAAGAATCTGAGCGATGTAATGGGGGCAACATTGATATTTTATACAGAAAGATTGTGGGAAGATCTGGGGTGGTGAATAGCCTGGGGTAGGGCCAGGTACAGACAATGAGGGCCACAATGAAAGGTCAATTTAAAGGATTATTGACTGGGAAGGGCGGCTGTCTCAGGCAAAAATCCAGAGATCTGGGTTTAGGGGCTGGGCTGTGTGGGAAAGTTTCAGGGGCTTCTAAGGGGTCCAGGTGCCATCCCCATCATCACCAAGGAGAAGCAGAATTAGAAGTTGTCTCTATTTTCCTGGGCTAGGAGATGGGGGCTATAGGGATGAGGATGAGGAAGAAGAACACATTCAGAACACCCTCTCTCCCCTCACCCTTTGCTCTCCCCTCACTCAGAATTTCCTCACTGCTCTGGCTATGGGGAAAGGACACTTGGTAGAGATCAGTAGTTCAGCAGAAAAACTGAGGCAGAGAATTCCTGATCACACAGCCAAGATCCAGCAATGGCAACAGGAACTGGGCCAGAGGTGAGACAAGAGTGAGAATTCAAAGTGAGAAGGGGGAAAAAAGCAGGTATCTCTGATGCTTTGTTTACTTTGATTCCTGGGGTGGGGTAAAAGATCTGGAATAAAACAACAGAACTATGGAACTGTAACTGCTAAGCTTGGTCCTGGGTGAGATGAGAAAATGTATCCTCTTCCTTTAACTGGAGAGGTGCGGGACTATGGGTGTGCAGTGTTGCATATGCTGTCAGATGAGGTCATTGTGTTAGATTAATCTAGGGGTGCAGAACCTGCGGCCTCCAGGCCACATGTGGCTCTCTAGGTCCTCAAGTGTGGCCCTTTGACTGAATCCAAACTTCACAGAACAAATCTCCTTAATAAAAAGATTTATTTAGCCAAACATTGAATTAAGTCTCTTCCCTCCATCAGAAACGATTTACTGAATCCCCTAAGGGGGGTAGGGCAGCACCAGTCTAAGGATTCAGATTTTTTCTATAAAACTTAGACTCAGTCTAGAGGCCACACCCAAGGACCTAGAAGGCCACGTGTGGACTCAAGGTCGCAGGTTCCCCACCCCTGGATTAATGAGTCAGTTAGTTTTGCTGAACTTTTTTTTTTTTAATTTCATTGTTATGAGGCAATGTTTGCTGGGCAGGGGATGTGGGGAGGGACACATTTGTAAATGAATATGGTATAAAAATAAGGGATATCAATAAAACACAGAGAAGAAAGAAAAATCAATCAATCAATAAGCTTTTTTTCAAGTGCCTCTTATGTGCCAGATGCTGGGTATACAAAGACAAAAAGGCACTTGAGAAGTTCTAAGATTGAGACAGGATGCAGGGGTCCTTGGATAGACCCAGGGTTTGAGGAGACCAATGGAAGGCTGGAGCAAAGGATAGCCCTGATAGACTTGAGACAGGGGGAAGGTTGGCCTGGAAACCTCTGGTGAATGGGGCCTGTCCAGGAGGCAGGGGAGGGCAAGATGTCTCAGCCAAGCTGAGCTACTGGTCTCTGTTCCCTGGATAGATGGGAGCAGCTGGAGGCGCTGAAGGAGGAGAAGGGATCACTTCTGGCCAGCATGGCAGATGTGCACAGCTTCCTGCAGGAGTGTGGACCCACCCAGACCCAGCTGCAGGATATTATGGTGAAGCTGGAGTCTATGAGGCCGGCGGACTCAATGGGCAGCTGTCGACGTTCCCTGCAATCAACCCAGCATGAGATGTTGGTGCTGGAGCGCAAAATCAGCTACCTCGTCAGCGTGGTTACCAAGTAGGGTCTGGGCCCAGGAGGGTTCTGGAGGAAGCACGAGTAGTAGTGGGTGTCTAGAGAAGGAGAGGAAGGGATTGGTGTAGTGGACAGAGGGCCACCCATGGAGTCAGGAAGGCCTGCCTGAGACACACTATCTCCATAAAACCTCCAAACAAGCCATTCAAACCTTCGGTGCCTCAGGCAACTTGCTAAAACTACAAATTACTGATAAAATTGATTGAAAAAAATACCAAGTCCGGGCATAAATCCAATGTATAGAAAGGCATTATGGTATAGTGGATAGAATACCACACTTTGAATCAGAAAGACTTGGGTTTCAAATCATGCCTCTGATACATCACCAGCTGTGTGAGCCTGGACAACTTCTCAGTGCCCCAGGTCACTCTCTAAAACCCTCCTCACTGGAATCAGAACAGTAATGGAATTACAGGACCAATAAAAAAAATATTAAGTAAGAAGACAGAAGGAGAGATGAGGGAGGAGGCAGGGAAAGGGTTGAGGAAGATTGGTGGGAAATGGAGAGTTGAAAGATTTATGGGGAATTTTTGCTGCTCCTACCCCAAGCACAATGAGGGATCCTTGGAAGAGAGAGAGAGAAACATTTTCTCCTTGAGTAAACTCATCACCATAGACTTGACCAGAAAGGATTTGGGGATGGTGGTGCCAGTGTGTGTGGGGTGGTGGTGGAGGGGGGAACAGCTGTACCCAGCAGAAGGTGGGGAGGATGGAGATACCTAGGACCTGAGATACTTCCAGTCCTTCCAAGGCGACCAGGACACCCTATGCCCGCAGGATTGAAGAGACAAGCCCTATGGAGAGCCCAGTGCTGCGGGAACGAGTAGAAGCCCTACAGGCCCTGCTAAATCAAGCGCAGGAGCGGGCTGCCCAGATGGCCCAGGCCCAGACGCAGGCCCAGGCAGGGCACAGCTTCCTGAGGGAGAGTCGGCAGCTGCTGTTGTGGGCAGAGGGCGTTCAGTCCCAACTGGATAGCAAGGAGATGGGTGTGGACGTGGCCTCGGCCAAGCACCTTCTGGAGGAGCACAGAGACCTGCTGGAAGAGATCCGTGTCCAGCAAGAGAGGTAGGGGCAGCCTGGGGAGAGGGAAGGTGGAGGTGGGGAGCCGAGGGAGCCATGTTTCTGAGGAGGCTCAATATGCTACCCCTCAAGGCAAAGCACAGAGGGTCTGCTCTGGGCCTCCCGAGAGGTCTAAGGCATTCTGGTCTGCAGCAGCACAGCCCAAGGGCTTAGGGCAAGGTAGAACAATCCCATGGTAATCCCTCAGCTCTCCAGAGTCATCCTGTGCCCCAAATTCTACCTCCAGGGGTTAAATGGACCATCTCATTGACCTAGTGTATCCACCATTTGTTTTAGTGGTAGTGTCAGATAGGATGGACCCAGGGTCATTAAGGCCCATGTTCAAATCCCACCTCTGACCCTTGCTAGCTGTGTGATGACAGGTAGGTAGACAGACAGACAAAGAGAGAGTAGATAGATAGAAGGAGAGTAGACAGACAGACAAACAAATAGTAGACAGATAGACAGTAGATAGACAAATAGTAGATAGACAGGCAAACAGATAGTAGGCATACAGATAGACAAAGAAAGGGTACTGGTAGGTGGCACTATGGAAGTCAAGAAGAAAGAAGAGGAGTTGGGAGATAAAGTCCAGGCAATGAGTGAGGTGAATCATAGCTGGGGTCTTTCCTAAAGTTTAGGTGGTTCTCAGAGGAGAGTTACCGATCAAAAGAGTAGGGAAGTGGTAGCCAGTAAACCATGCATAAGGACCAGGGAGCTGGCTATTGACTTAGAAAACTCCAGTTTAAAATTATCTATGCTCCATTGTATTTTTATTTATTTTGTTAAATATTTCCCAATTGCATTTTAATCTGGTTCTGTCTGCATTGGTCTGTGAGCCACCAGTTCGACGCCTCTGCATTAGAATATTAATATAAATAAGACACACGAGGATATCCTGAATTCTTCCTTCCTGGTGAAGGATAACAAGATATTTCCAGTATCAAAGATATGAGAATTAATTAGATTGGGGAATAGGGGAGGAGAGGAGCTGATTAGGGCTCAACTTGTTATTCCTTCTCCTGGACAGGATGAGACAGCTAGAGGCTCGGGGCCAACAACTGGCCAGCTTGGAAACCCAGGATTCCCAAGCGGTGGCCGATGCACTGAAGCAGTTGGGTCAGCAGGCCCGTGGAGTGGATGTGGCGTGGGAGCGGTGCCATCGACGGCTGCAGCAGGGGCTGGAGCTACAGATGTTTGTCCGGGAAGCCGATGGCTTTGGTGCTACCTGTGCCAACCATGAAGCATTCCTTCGACTGGACAGCCTTGGGGTACACAGTTGAGCCTGGGGCAAACCACTTTGGGATATGGAGCTGGGGGGTGCCAGGGGATTGATTCTGAGAACCCCGGGGTCAGGATAATAATTGCTCACATTTGTGATTTGAGAGGCACCATGACATAGCAAATGGTGAACTGGCCTCATGAACTCAGTTCATGCTGCCTCTGACTCATGCTGTCTGTGTGACCCTAGGCAAGTTAATTAACTTCTTAGTGCTCTAAACAATTCTCTAAGACTATGGGTTGCAGAAAAGATGATGGCCTGCACTGGGAGAATAATTTTTTTCCTCTAGAAGTTCATTTATTCCAATGAAATCACAGGTCCAATACTAATCCCCCGTCTATGATTTTCAAAATTCTCTAAGGGGCAGCTAGGTGGCATAGTAGATAGAGTACCAGTCCTGGAGTCAGGAGGACCTGAGTTCAGATCTGAACTTAGACACTTACTAGCTGTGTGACCCTTGACAAGTCACTTAACCCCAATTGCCTCAAAAAAATGCTCTAGATAACATTATCTCATTTCATTCTCGCAACAACCGCACAAGGAAGGCAGAACGAGAAGTTATCAATCCCATTTTACAGATGAGAAAACTGAGGCCCAAAGAGGTTAAGTGACTTATCCAGGGTCTCCCAGCTAAAGAGTGGCAGAGCAGGGGCTCGAACCCAAGTTCTAGGTCTGAAACTGCAGCATTAGGCTTCAGGGAAAAAAGAGATTCCTTGTGTTTGTCACTTAGAGGGGTGGAGGGTGGAATTGGTGGAGAATGTCTCCCTTCTTGGTACGTGGAAGTAGCACTATGTCTGTGTCCCCAGGAGGATGTGGGACATGTGCAGAATTTGTTGCAACGACACCGGGAATTTGACCACCTGCTAGAGACATTGGGTCCACGTGCGGAGAGCCTGAAGTCTCATGGGGAGAGGCTGACAGAGAGGCAACACTTTGCTACCCACATGTAAGTTTGGGGTCTGGGCCTTCAGGCTCAGGGTACGTGTCTTTCTCACCTTCTCTGCCATCTTGCCTAGGGTGTCTTGGTGAAGGTAGGGGAGCTCAAACCAGGGGAGAGAAAGGGGCCAGAAGGACAATCAGTATTTCAATTAACAAGTCTTTACTAGGCAACTGCTAGTATTCATGGTATGGGGCAGGTAGGTAGCACAGTGGATAAAGCTTGGGGCCAGGATTCAGGAAGACCTGAATTCAAATCTGGCACAGACTAACTGTGTGACCCTAGGCAAGTCACTTAACCCTGTTTGCCTCAGTTTCCTCATCTGTAAAATGAGCTGGAGAGGGAAATGGTAGGATCTTTGCTAAGAAAACCCCAAATGGGGTCGTGGAGGGACAAACACACGTAATTGACTCAACAACAACAACATCGGGGTGTATTGGAGCTCTAATTTCTAGGTGAGGACAGGAGCAGAATGTAGCACTCACCCAGAATTCTCCATTCTCAGGATCAGAGAAAGGATAGTAAATACCCAGAATCGATGGACCAAACTCCAAGAGATGAGTAAACAAAGGAAAAAGCAGCTGCTGGCTTCCCTCCAGTTACAGGTAAGTGTGGGACCCTTGGCATGGGGTTGGTGGAGCCATTATTTCGTTGTTGGGGGGAATCTCTGAAGACTAACCATAGAGGTGCTCCTAGGGCAGATGGAACAGAATTATGGAGGATCTCAGAATACAAAAGCCATCTAATTCAACCCATACCTGAACACTAATCCTCATCTCTGACTAGGGGCATCCAGCCTCTGCCTGCAGTGAGGGTGAAAAGCAGCCCATTCCACTTTGGGGTAACCCTTAGCTGTGTGACCTTGGACAAGTCATTTAACCTGAGGACTATAAGCCCAAGTTACCAGAAAATCACAGGTTTCTATTTGTCTTATCAAAGGAGGCACAGTTTCAGAATAAACTCAAAATGTTGGACATACTGGAGTTCAAACAGCTCACTCCTACTGAGCACTGGTTTAATGGGGGTTCATGTCATCCATGCTTGCAGTGATGAACTTCCCACTTTTGTCTCCTGTGGAGACAGAGAGGTTGGCAGAAGGTTTTCAGTAAATCTGGTTTTCGGTAAAAAAAAAAAAATTCCTACTATTGAGCTGCATCTTCTCTGAATCTTCCACTCATTCCCTGTTCCTTAGTTCTGTTCTCTTCCATGAGGCAGCCCTTCAAAAGTCAAATCAAGTTAAAAACATTTATTAAGCACCTACTATGTGCCAAACACTGTACTAAGCACTAGGGATACAAAGAAAGACAAAAACAGTCCCTGCCCTCCAAGAGTTCACATTCGAATCATGGAAACAACATATAAGCAACTATGGAGGCTACAAAATGTATACAGTATAAATTGAATGTATTCGCAGAGGAAAGATGCCAGTATGAAGGACAATCAAAGACCTGCAGAAGGTAGGATTTTAGCTCAGACTTGGAGGAAGCCAGGAGTTGAAGACAAGAGGGAGAGCATGGAGGATGGCCATTGAAAAGGCAAGGAGTAAAGATGGAGTGAATTGTTCAAGGAACATCAAGAAAGCCAGTGTCACTGGACCACAGGCTATGTCATAGGGAGTGGCATGTAAGACTGAAAAAGTAGGAAAGGGCCAGTTTATGAAAAGCTTTAGAAACCAAATAGAGAATTTCATATTTGATCCTGGAGGTAATAGGGGACCACTGGAGTTTATTGAGGAGGAGGGTGACAGAGTCAGATGTGAGCTTTAGGAAAATCACTTTGGCAGCTGAATGGAGGATGGGTTGGAGTGGGAAGAGGCTTGAGTCAGGGAGACCAGTAGTCCTATCATGCTAGCGTCACTCCTAAATATTCTCTTCTCCAGGAGAAGCATCTCCACTTCCTTCAACCTAGCCTCACATAACATGATCTCCAGTCCCCTCACCACCTTGGTTGCCCTCTAAAACTTCCAGCTTGTCAATACCTTTCCTAAAGCGTGACATCCAGAAAAGACCACAGCACTCAGAAATGCACTGACAAGCCTCATTCTGGAGGCTGTGCTTCTCCATGTAACCGAAGATCACCTTGGCCTTTTTGCCCATGTGTCCATGCTGACTCATACTGAGCCTGCTATCTACTAAGCCACTTCTCACAAGAAACTCTGTCTAGCTAGGTCTCATCTTTTTTTTTTTTTTTAAACTCATGAAGTCAATTTTCTGAGCCCAAGTATAAGAACAGTGATGCACAAGTCTACAGTTGGAAGGGAACTCAAGGATCTCCTGATCTTAAGTACAACCCTAATAGATTCTGGGCAGGACAACTGGCTCCCAGGTAGATGCCTAGTGAATCACCTACAGTTTGAGGGAGGATTGTTTGTCCAACCTGCCTCTTCCCAGCCCCTACCCCCAGTTTGGTCAAGGTGGTTGTTGTTATGGTTTCTCCTCCCCCTCCCCCTCCTCCTTCCTCCTCTTCTCCTTCTTCCCCTCCTCCTCCTCCCTCTTCCTCTTTTCTCAAAGAGGACCAATGACTTCACAAGGGCATTGTCTTGCCTTGCAAGTGATTTGAGTTTAAGTGAGGCAGAGCTGCACAAAGTCATCAGCCTCACTTTCACCAAGATATGCTCAAACTCAAATATCAAGGTGCTACCTTACTCCTGGGGGTAGCCAGATGGTGCAGTAGATAGAGTGCAGGGCCTGGAGTCAGGAAGACTCATCTTCCTGAGTTCAAATCTGGCCTCAGAAACTTATTTATCTGTGTTACCTTGGGCAAGTTACTTAACCCTGTTTGCCTCAGTTTCCTCATCTGTAAAATGAGCTGGAGAAGGAAATGGCAAACCACTCCAGTATCTTTGCCAAGGAAACCCCAAATGGGGTCACAAATAGTCAAACGGAACTCAACAACAACCTCACTCCCCATAATGGCCCTCGCCCATGCCTCTTTCCCATCAATCATGATATCTCTGTCCTCAAGGAACATACAAGCCAACTGGAAAGATAAGACACATGTAAAATAATCAAGAGGAATGTCACTGGCTTCAGACTACACTTTTTGCCATAGGAGCTTAGAGAGAGCAGAGAGTAGTGTGGATAGGAATAATGATTCTCCTTATCTTAGAAACCTTAATAGGTGCTTTAAGGCCCAGCCCAGGGCAGTGGCCCGGCCTTTCCTCCATTCCCCTGATCTTCCCTTTCCTGTTTTGCAGTATAGTGGGCAAAGATGGATTTGGCCCTACTATAAACTACCTTTGTGGCCTTAAGCAAGTTTTTTAACCTCATCTGTAAAATGAGGGAGTTGTATTACATGAAATCTAGGGTCGCTTGTATTTCTAAATGCATGATGCTAGGAGCTCTCATTCTGCCTGCTTCTGCTCTCCAGGGAGGAACAAAAAGATCAGAGTTATTGGGACTGGGGTCTGTTCCCTCTTCCCAACCTCTAGATGTGCAGAATAATCCCTTGGGCCTTTCCCTTACCCAGAGACCGTCCCCCAACACACTTTTCTTGGACATCCCCAGCCTACCTGCCCTAATCTCTGGGGTCATGAGACTCATAGCTTCCCTGGTGGTTCTCCTGGGCAGGAATGGAACCAGGATGTGGCCGAAATGACTTTGTGGATGGAGGAGAAATGTTTGATTGCTGCAGATGAGTCATACCGAGAGCCTGGCATTATTCTCCACAAGCTCAAAAGACATGAGGCAGCAGAGAGTGAGGTCCTGGCAAACCAGCCAAGGGTTGAGCAGCTGCGGCAGGTGGGAGAGCAGGAAACTGAGTGAAGTCTCCCTGAGGGGGCTGAGCCATTGCCAAATTGTTTTCAATAACTCAGATGAAATCTCAGTGGAAACCCCCACGGCACCCTCCCAGTGATTGGCCCACATCTCCCCGGGGGAGCCTCAGTAGCTCTGAAATTGGCAAAATTCCAACACCCCCCCCCAACTCCCACCCTGATCTCCTTCAACCATCAATCTATCCCCTGGCCTCTGGGTAGGACTTGAAGTAGCTCATAAAGGTAGCTGTCATCTCTTTCATTAAAAAATATTAACATCCCTGACTGATGTGTTCCAAATTCCTAATCCCACAGACCTGAAATTCACTCTAATGTCTAACCTAACACTTGCTACAACAGTCCTGGGGAGGCTGTGTGGGGGTTAGGTGAAAACATGCCGGAGACCTGTGTTCAAATCCTGCCTCTGATATTTAATCAACCATGTAACCTGGGCAGGCAACTCAGAGCCTCAGTTCCTTCATCTATGAAATGGGCATAATAATACTTATTATTATTATCTACCTCATAGAGTTGTTATGAGGAACACATTTGAGAAACTTTAAAGGGCTACATAAATGTGAGTTATTATAGCTGCTGTCGTTAACTTTGTCTGAACTTCCCACTCTCTGTCCCACAGCTTCAAAGAGCAGCTGCCCCAGCCCGTGGAATGAGCTAAATTACAGCAAGCCCAGACCCATAGGTTTTCCCTAGACTTTTGATCCTAAAAAATTTCCACCCATCCTTGGGTGCTGGCCCCATCCAGTCCTAAGGGCTTCCAGTGCCTGGCCCACTGAGGGTTACCTAACTGCGCCAGCTCAATCATAACCACCACCCCCTCCCACCTATCTGGGTCTTTTGCCTCTACTCCAGCTTGGAAACAAGCTTCTTGCTACCAAGCATGATGCCCTGGATGACATACAAGCAAAGCTACTGGTCCTGGAGAAAAAATGGGAGGAGCTGAATCACAAAATGGCAGAACGTGGAGATAAGCTGCGTCAGGCAGCACAACAGGAGCAGCTCATGGAGCAGCTGCAGGTCAGCCGCAGCTGGGTGGAGAGGGAGGCAGAGAAAATAAGAAGCAGGAGGGGGGTAAAATGGGCTACTCAGGAAGGGAGCATTCTATAGCAAAATGAGTGTGGACACTCCAAGCTCAATATTTATTGAGCGCTTATATGCATAACACTGTGCACAGCTCTGATTAACTCAGTACCAGCCAAACATTCAGCCCTTTGCCGGGTAAGAACAGATCGAATTCAGTCAGGATCACTCCATGTATTCCTTGCATTTGTCTTTTCTGATGAGGTACCTCTCACCTGCCCCTAGGAGGCCAAAGATAAAATGGAGCAGTTGGAACGGGGGCTGCAGAGCGCAGAGACTGGTCACGACCTCCGCTCCAGCCGAGAGCTACAAATAAAGCACAAGAAATTGGAAAGTGAGAGCCACGAGCTGGCAGATAAGATGAGCACCATTGTTACCCGGGCCCGAACTGTTGCCACCAATCACTTTGACTCCCAGACCATCCTGGATGAGACACAGAAATATCTCCAAAGGTGGGCTTCCTGCCGGCTTTCCCCCTTCTCCCTGCTCCCCCATACACCTGCTCTCTATCGCATAGAATCCTAGATTTAGAGGCAGCTAGGTGGGAGGGTGGATAGACTGTTGTACCTGGAGTCACAAAAACCTGAGTCTAAACCCTGCCTCAGACACTTAGTAGCTGTGTGACGCTAAGCGAGTCTCTTGTAATCTTCATTTCCTCATCTGTAAAATGGGAATAATAACAGTGCCTACCTCCCAAGATTATTGTAAGGTTCAAATGAAATATTTGTAAAGTGCTTTGCAAACCTTCATGTGCTGTATCAATGTGGGCTATTCTCATTAGAGCTAGAGGTCACTGAATACAACCCCTTCATTTCATGGTCGAGGAAACCGAGACCAAGAGACTTTCCCAAGGTCATATAACTGGTCAATGTCTGAGGCAGAATTTGAACTCGGGCTCCTGGCTCCAAGTCAAGCACTGTAATCCCCACACTGCACAGGTAACTTCTAGTTGTACTCTTCCCAGAAAGGGCAGGGAGGTATCACCAGCTCATACCTGAGTTTGTCCAAAATCCTTTCTCTTGTCGGCTGTTAAATCGGAGGTGGACTCTTTAGGGACGGATGCAAGCCATTTGGGATCCTATGTGGGGGAACCGAGAGGCATAAACCCAGTTAGTGTTCTCCGGCCATGGCTTAGAACTGGAATGGATCCTGGCGGCCACTGAATCTAACCCACTCATTTTATTCATAGAGAAACTGAGACCCAGAGAAATTAAATGACTTGGCTGGGGCTATACAGTTAGTAAGTGTCTGAGGTAACATTCGAACCCAGGTCTTCCTCCCCAAGTCCAGTACCCTACCCACTAAGCCAACAACTCATATTTCTACAGCACATCAAGGTTTACAACGTGCTTTCTTCAAAACAGCCCTGTGAAGTAGGTAATATAAGCCTTATCATCCCCATTTTCCATATAAGGAAACTGAGGCACAGAAAGGTTAAGGGACTTTCCTAGGGTCACACAGCTGATGAATGTCTGAAGTGGGATTTGAACCTAGGTCTTCCTGACTCCAAGTTCAGTCCCCTATCCACTATGGCATCCTGGGGTGGGTGGCACAGTGGTTAGCACGGTCAGACCTGGAGTGAATTGAGTTCAAGACTCATCTCAAATACTAGCTATGTGACCTTGAGCAAGTCACTTAACCGCTATTTGCCTCAGTTTCCTTATCTGTAAAATGGGGATAACTATAGCTCTTACCTCCATGACTGTTGAGAAGATCAAATGAGCTGATAATTGTAAAGTGCTTAGCACAGTACCCGGTACAGAATAAGCCCTCTATCAATGTTAACTATCATCACTGCCATTATTATTATTCTATGAATCAGGACTAGGCAGAAGCAGCCCAAAGCATGCCAACTACTGATTGATGGTGCCCAGCGCCATCTTTGATCTTCACCCATGTCCTAGTTCATTCTTGACCTGGCCAAGGGGAGGAAGGGACAGTCCATTTCCCTGTTCCCGCTCTCCTCCCTTAACCCAGGTTTCAGGCTCTTCAGGGGCCGCTGGCAGCACGCAGGCAGCAGCTGCAGGCTTCGGTCGAGCTCCATCAATTCTACCACCTGCGAGGCCTGGAAATCAGCTGGGTGAAGGAGCGCATGCCCGGTGCCAACTCTGCCATCTGCGGCAGGTCCCTGGACGCAGCCCAGAGGCTTCTGTACAAACACAAGGTGACGCCGACCCTGCTCCATCCCAGCCACCTCACTCCCCGCACCCCAGCCACCCACTGCTCCCAGACCCCTGGTTGTCTAAGCTTTCCAGAGACCTACCCTGGTGGCTGGATCCTTCCAGCATCCCCACTTCCAGCTGCTCTGATGTTGAGGTTCTTGGTGGAATGGTCACTTCCAACCCCAATGTGAATGAGGACAGCTAGGTAGTACAGGCGATAGCATGGGGCTTATAGTCAGAATTTGAATTCTGAGACACAGACTAGCCATGTGACCCCGGGCAAGTTATTTACTCTCTGTGCCTCAGTTATCTCACCTGTAAAGTGGGGATAATAATAGCACCTACTTCCCAAGGTTACTGTGATGATTAAATGAACTAACATATGGAAAGCACTTCACAGACCTTAAAGATTAGTGTAAATGCTGGTTGTTTATTGTTGTTATCATCATTATTATGAAGAGTAATTAATTATTATTCATAGTAATTGTCATCCTCATCCTGGCTTCTGGGCAGTCTTTTTTTTTTTTTAGTGAGGCAATTGGGGTTAAGTGACTTGCCCAGGGTCACACAGCTAGTACGTGTCTCTATCCACTGTGCCACCTAGCTGCCCCTAGCTTCTGGACACTCTTGAGCACAAGGTTTAGCCCCAGAGGGTCCTCATTTTCCCCTTAAGCTCATGTTTGATTCTGTCCCAAGGAGCTTCAGGCAGAGGTGAAGGTTCATCAGGTCCAAATGCAGAAGGTGCTGGCATCTGGGCAGAGCATGGCAGCCTGCGGGCACCCTTCTGCACAGGACATCACAGAATGGTGCCAGAAGCTGGAGAGCTGCTGGCTAGAGCTGAATGAAGCCTGCGAGGGGCGGGCCAGGCGGCTACAGCGCTCTATTGCCTACTATCAGGTATGAAGCAAGGAATCAGGGGGAGGGGAACAGCAGGTCACTCAAAGGTCCAAGAACAGTTCCCAAGAAAGGAGGCATCACAGGATTTGGAAAGGGTCAAGTGACTCGTCATGGCTTGTCCAATGGCAAGGAAGTGTCAGAGCTAAGTCTTTCTGACTCCAAGCCTGGCACTCTATCCACTCTCCCACACTTCCCTTCAATAATTATATAAGCAATAATAATAATGGTGAAGATGGGTAAACATGCTTTTGATGTCCTTTCATTCTTGGGGAAGTGATGGTATATGGAGACAGTCTACAGGGTTGGTAGAGATTGGGCTTGCCTTTAGTAAGGGGTCTCCATGGCATGGAAGTTTGTTATTGTTTGGTCGTTTTTCAGTCATGTCCGACTCTTTGTGACCCCATTTGGGGTTTTCTTGGCAAAGATACTGGAGTGCTTTGCCGTTTCCTTCTCTGGCTCATTTATACGGATGAGGAAACTGACATAAACAGAGTTAAGTGACTGGCACAGGACTAATACACAGCTAATAAGTGTCTGAGGTTGGGTTTGAACTCACAAAGATGAGTCTTCCTGACTCCAAACCCAGTGCTGTATCCATTGTACCACCCAACCTCCTTTATTTACTAGCCATGTGACCCTGGGCAAGGCACTTAATCTCTCTGTGTCTTAGTCTCTTCATTTGCAAAATTGGGGGGAGGAGATAGAGGATCTCCACCCCTTAATGGCCTCTAAGGTTCCTTCCAACTCTAAATCTAAGATTCCATGACTTCTGAGAAGGTGGGAACAAGAACCAGGTTCATAAAAGTTGGTACAAGAATGTAAAAATCATGAGCATCAGGGAGCGGATGCCACTTGTAGGGGAGGACAAGCACCCCGTTGGTGTTAGACACAAGAGGGAGTGGTGAAGCAGCATTCTAGGACCAAAGCAAGATGGCGCATTGAGAGTACCCTAGCTGACCACATCTTCCCTGGCAGTACTTGCTCGATGTATCAGACTTGGAAGGCTGGTTGGGCGAGAAGCGGCCTTTAGTGAGCAGCCAAGACTATGGCAAGGACCAGCTGGCCACCATCAGCCTCATCAAGAAACATAAGGTACTTTCCCCCACGAAGCTTGCTAAGTACAACTCCAGACTATTTCATGGGGTGCTACAAGGGTAAGAGAAGAGGGAATTTGTGCTCTGACTTTTAAAATCATGTCACAATAATTCTCCCAGAAGAAGCAGGTCCCTAGAATCTCCCATATAGGTACTCAATAAATGCTGAATGAATGAATGAATGAATGCTTTTCCTACTCATCCCTTCCTGAGTATCCAACCCTGCATTAACACAGGCTCTTACATCTGACCCATGTCTCCAGGCCCTAGAGCAGGAGCTAGCCCTCTATGGGAGCTTTGTAGCCGAGCTCATCCAGACGGCACAAACCCTCACGAGCCCCGGGTGCCCTAATGAGATCCCTGTGCCTCCAGGAAGTCTACAAAACCAGCTTCAGGAGCTGAAGGAGCTGGCGACCACAAGGTGAGAGCCCTAGACCACAGCTGCTCCGCAACCTTCTTCCCTAAGCCGGGCAAAGTGGAGCCTGCTTGGGCCCAGGCCATTCCTCTAGCAGTAATAACAATAATGGCTAACATTTACATAGCGCTTACTATGTGACAGGCACCATGCGCTCTCCAATTATTATCTCATTTGATCATCACAACAGCCCTGGAAGGCAGGTACTATTCTTATTCCTATTTTACAGAGGAAGAAGCTGAGACAGACAGAGGCTAAGTGACTTGCCCAGGGTCACACAGTTAGTAAAGATTTGAGGCTGGATTTGAATTCGGGTCTTCCTGATGCCAGGCCCAGCACTCTATCCACTGCACCACCTAGTAATACCACCTTGAACCGTGATCCCCTCCAGATATGTTAGGAAAGAGATAGATCTCTGAAAGAAAGTCTTTTCCTCTTTTAAGGAAAAAAGATACTCTTTTCCTCTTCCACTGAGGGCAGGTACTGCCCAAGCAGGGACCTACGATTACCTTCTTTCCTCCAATTCCCATTCCCAGACATCCTCTCATTCCCCTACCTATAGGGCGAGCCATTGTGGTACACTAGCTTCAGAGTCAGAAGACCTGGGTTCAAATCCTTCCTCTACCACTTATAAGGTGTGTGATTTTGGACAAGTCACTTGACTTGTCTGAGCCTTGGTTTTCTTATACATGAAATGAGGAGGTTGGACTAGATGAAGATGACCTTTGGTGGTCCAGTAGACAGAGTGCTGGATTTGGGGTCAGGAAGACCTGAGTTCAAGCCCCTCCTTGTTCACTAATTTAGCTGTGTGACCCTGGGCAAGTCACTTAACCTGCCTCATTTTCCTCATCTGTAAAATGGGGATAAGAATAGCCATTACCTCACAGAGTTGTTGTGAGAATCAAATGAGATTATATATGTATACATATATGTATATGAGAGAACATATGTAAAGTGTTGCAAACTTCAAAACATTTTATACATCTACATACACACACACACACACACACACACACACACAC